TGAGCATAAGAAACTTTTCCATTGATTATCAACATTTCCCTTCCTGTTTTTCTAAATTCACAATTTCTCAAATTAGAATAAATTATTCAAAGAATACTTTCTCCAACTACACGAAAAGCTGCTGAGATTGAGAGGCAAATTATCGAATTTTATTTCTTTGGAGTCAGAATCTTACTTTGTCAGCCAGGCTGAAGTGCTGTGGCAAGATCACAGCTCACGGATGCCTCAGTCTCCTGAGCTCAGGTGATTCTTCTGTCTCAGCCTCCCAAGTAGCTGGGACTACAGGCAAACGACACTATGCCTGGCTATTTTAAAAGATTTTTTTTGTAGAGACAAGCCAACTATGTTGCCTAGTCTGGTCTCAAACTCTTAGGCTCAAGCAATCCTCTTACCTCGGCCTCCCAACGTGCTGGGATTACAGGTATGAACCACCATGTCTGGCGCATACAATTTTAGAGCTGAAGAAACCTTAAGGTTTATCTAATCTAGCATCCAGGGTGCCAGCTATAAAATCCTGGGCAGCTTCTACAACCTAAATGTGTATGTAATGGGGAGCTTAATATTTTTCCAAATAGCCATTCTGTTGCAGACAGCTCTAAATGATAGAAAATTGTCTCCAGTTTGTATTATCTTCCAGAATGCTGTCTTTGGTTTAAACTTGGGGTTCTTCTGAAAGTTTCTCTCAGTCCTATGACTTTGATTTTTGCAGTTTGAGTCAAAATTCCATGAATCTGCCTGATTTTTGTGGCTTGTTTTTTTCTTATTTTTTATTAATACTTTAATATTTCAAAATAAAGTTGCTTCAATTAAATCGAACTCTGACATCACCACTTACTACCTGTATGATCTGGGAAAGTTATATTTACCTTCACTTTTCTCATCTGTAAAAAAAAAAAAAAATTGAGGAAAATAATGTCTACTTTTAAGATTGTGGTAAGCATTAAATGAAATATTACAAGTGGCCAGGCGCATTGTCTCAAGCCTATAATCCTAGCACTTTGGGAAACTTGAGGTGAGAGGATTGCCTGAGACCAGGAGTTTACTATCAGCCTGGGCAACCTGGTGAGACCTCGTCTCTACAATAAATAAAAGAAAATTTTTAAAAAGAAGATAAAAAAGCCGGGTTCGGTGGCTCAGCCTGTAATCCCACGCCTTTGGGAGGCTGAGGTGAGTGGATTGCCTGAGCCCGCGGGTTCGAGACCCGCCTGGGCAGCGAGACCTCATCTCTACAATAAATCAAAAAAATCAGCCGGGCGT